CCACGAACGATTATATCAAAATTTAAAAACAGCACTGATAATATGTTTAAGTTGGAAGCTAAAAGAACAATCTAAAATGTTACAATCTTACAACATAATGTCCAACATAATGCTCTATAAATAAAATACAATAACCATCAGTAATCCCTCCTCGACGACGACTCCCACTGCGCAAGGGTCTGTTCCAGACTATCAACAACAGCTCTCCCTGTTGCACTCATGCTGTCCTTCTCAAGAGAGAGTTTCTGTACGTCCTGCATTATCTTTCCCATCCACTGCATACAACAAAAAACAGAAGATGAAATATGATAGGCCGTCGTCGAGCCTACCAAAGATAATAATTCCTATCTTGGTCTCACTAACAATAGTAAGGGTAAGAAAGGGTCGAACCCAAGAGAGGCGTTGAATCAACCACCGAGTACTACCGTTTAAATAAGCTAAACGAATTCTAAATTGGGTTGGTTTTTAGTAACTTCTTCTAACACAATCCAACTAAGCTAAGAGGAGGTTAACAATATTAAGAGGAATCTAGGGCTTGGGTTATACCACTCAACTTCATCACAAATCACAATTAGCATGCAACAATCAAGGTAAATTAATGGGATAAATTAGGGGAAGTCATCTAAAGCACCCAACTACTCTCTCAAGCTAGAGGGATTACTTGAATCATGAATACGACCTACTCTCGTGGTTACATAGCATAAAACAAGTGTTAAAGCATAATCACGATGACATAAACATTCCCTTGACCGGTAATCCCTATTCTCATGGCATTTCGGGTCAATCAAGCATAAGGGAGCTAACTCAAGTTCATCTCTCGATCCTTCGTTGAGAAAGCTTGGATAAATAGTTCTAGCAATGGCCATATACAAGAACTAAGCAATTAAACCACTTAAGCTCAACTAATTAACATCCCACAACAACCAAATTAGCACATGCAACAAGTAATTAGTGACTACATTGAGGATTTTGCCCAAACCCTAGAATTTAGACTACTCACAATCCATGGGGGTTAAAGCAATTAAAGATTTCAAGCAATTCATGAACAAATTCAAACTAAGGATTAAGCTAATTAACAATCCAAAACATGCAAGAACTAGCAAATAATTAACAACAAAGTAAAGAGAAGTAGAAAAGATGAGTAAGAAATGGTTACTATGAAGCTTCAAGGTGAGCAACAATGGTGGATTTTGTCTTCTACAATGATTGAATTTGAATAATTCCAAGCTAATAATTGAGAACTAACTAATGATTTGAGAATTTAATGTTCTAAGACTACAAACTAAGAGAAAAGCTCTGAAAAACTGCCTCTTTTTCGTACAAATGAGCTCTAAAGGGGTATTTATATGACCCCCAAATAAAAAGGACGGAGAAAACAAGGAAGGAGTTCGACTGCAGGTCTGCACGGACGTGCCAGATTTGGCACGGACGTGCAAGGCTAAGCACGGCCGTGCCAAGTTTGGCACGGACGTGCAGAGGGGGCAGAATTGAGGCAGAACGTACTGCTAAGAATCGAGCAGTTCCGCACGGACGTGCAGATATTGGCACGGACGTGCAGCTACATCTGCACGGACGTGCTTAATTTGGCACGTCCATGAAGGCCTTGGCAGAATGTTCTGAGTTTCTGGAGCACTTCTGCACGGACGTGCAAAGTCTGGCACGGTCGTGCACCCTCTTCTGCACGGACGTGCCAGATTAAGCACGGCCGTGCAGGCCTTGGCAGCTTGCTGAAGCTTTCTGGAACCTCCTGCACGGACGTGCAAGGTCTGGCACAGCCGTGCAGGGTCTTCTAAACCCCTTTTTTTTCATCTTTTCTTCTATAATGCTCCTTTCCTTGGCTTCTTTCATCCATCTTCTTTCTTCTAACCTCGGCTTTGTATCCATGGGCTCCATTTGGTCGTTCTTTTGAACCTAGAATCTCAACAAAAACACCAACAACCCGTGAAGCATAGGATACACAAGAATTGCATAATAATAGAGTAAAAATGAACCAAAACGCAATTTATATCAAGTAAACTAGGTTCAGAACACCCTAAAATCGTATCAAATAGCAAGTTATCAAAATACAATAACAACATATAAAACTTAATTAAAAGACAACGATAAATATAATAAAAGACATACCGCTTCCGTGGCAGTAGGCGGTGGCACATAATCATCATCGCTGTGGTCGAGATCTGCGATCAACCTCGGGTGCGAATACCGGTTGAACCATTCCATGTAGTAATGGTCACACATGGGAGTAACCCCAGAGGGCGGCCGCTGCAACTCCGCAGTCCATAAGCGGGCCACCATCGGAAATTGGTCCCACGTCCCGGTCATGATATCCGGCCATTGCACGACGTAGTCCCTCGACGATGCAGGTCGGACCGCCTTCATCGGGCATGCCGGGGGAGGAGGGACAACTTGGACAAATCCAAGCTGGCGAAGACAACGCTGGGGCATGTACGCCTCGACGATCTCACGGTACTGAATGAGTCCTGTGTACAGGGTCCTGGGTACCCTAACACTAGGGTTCGGGCCGAAAGGCATCCAGTTCACCTGTACAATAACAACATATAAAATTTAGTAACATGAATATAATATGTGCAAATAATAAAATGTAGAAACAATTTATAAACGTTACCTCTAAGGAGGACAGCCTGTCCAGCAATAACCGTATCGATCGGAGGCGGTCAACGGACTTCTTCTCCGAGCGCGGACTCCACGCACAAGCACGCGGCATCCCCTCATCAATAGGAACTGGGTCACGATGTGGTCGCAATGCAGGAAAGTACTCGTATATCCAGGTCTGCAATAGAGTCAGACACCCAGTGATACCTGCCGCGTCAGCCCGACTCGCAAATCCTAGTTGGCGATACAAATACGCCAACGTAGCCGATCCCCAGGAAAACTGGCCTACACTGTCGGGGTCACACGCCTCTACTATGTCGCGTGGCCTGAGCTTGTTTCCGCCGCTCTTATCCAGAAAGGAGTAGAAAAACATAAGCACTCAGCTGTGCGTCGGGCGTCCTACGTGCACTGGGGTACAAACACCGCTGCAACACGGATGCGATCTTCACACCTCCGTGTTCCCAAACACCTAGCGCCTCGGTGTACAGTGCAGCCCTGTCCACCGCCAACAACTCCGCCACCGAATCTGCCTGATCCGCATCAGCCACAACACAAAGTCGTTTACCCTCAACACAAATCCCCAGAATGGCCTCGACGTCATGTAACATGATCGTCATCTCACCGAACGGAAGGTGGAAAGAGTTTGTATCCGGCTGCCATCGCTCAATGAAAGCCGTGATCAGCGTACTGTCAATCTTATCGTGCATGGTGGCAGGAACGTGATTCACCCCAGTGCCCTCCAGTCGCTCGAACATCTCGCTCTCCGCCGGCCAGGCCTCAGCCCATGTACGCAAAAAGCTACAAGTCTTTTCCAGGGTATGACATTTCAACAACCCCGTAACTGAAGGCCTCTCCTGGTCCTCCCAAATACGGGCAGCTATGTGTCCTAGAAATCTAGGAATCACACTCCCGTCAACAGGCCCACCGGGCACCTCACTCCTAACAACCCAAGAATCATTACCGGCCCTCGACCGTTTCCTGCTTGCCCCAGATACAGTGGACGCAGATGATGTGCCAGATCTACTAACAAACCTACCACCCCTACCCTTACGCACCTCCACCATATGTGTCTCGTACATGTCATCAACCCTATGACTGAATGGACCGTAATCATCATACGGTCCACTGCCATCGTCCACATCCTCATCCTCATCTGCACCCTCCTCCTGCTCCTCCTCCTGGTCACCCTCCTCAGCATCATCATCGTCATCGTCATCCTCATCCCGACGGTGGATCCGTTCTCTACGAGCTGAGGCCGAAATACCACGGGATCTGACATGTCTCTTCCCCGACCTCTCCACTGAATAGCTTCTACTAAGAAGCTCTATATTCTTCCCCGCACCATGACGACCCAGTGAATTCTACACAAAATTTTAAAATATATAAACATACAAAAATTTATACGAAAAATAGCTACCACTCCCAAATCAAATAAACTAAAAACATACAAATAATTGTAAACAAAATATAAACATAGAAAAAATACAACGAAATTGAAAAAATTTATAAAAATAAACAACAAAATATAAAAACAATTCAAAAATATATTACACAAAAAAAAAAAAAAAATTAAAAACAATATTTTAAAACAAATATAAAAAAGGGGGGGGGCGCCTTGAATAAACGCCACAACCGTGGCTATGGCGTCCAGCCCAAGCGCCAGCCAACTGGTGGCGGCGTCTGCAGCTGGCGCCACCACCGCTGGCTGGGCGTCCAGCCAGGGCGCCCCACCGCCGTCACGGCGGTTTTTCCCTTTTTTTTTTTTAACAAAATGTACCTTTCCTCCTTGGGACATCCTTCCCTCCGCCGCCGCCGCCAATTCCTTGCCTTGCCGCCTCGACATTGCCGTTGTTTGATTTTTTTTTTTTAGAGAGGTTGAAAGAAGATGAGCAATGAGAGTGTGAGTGATGAGAGTGCGAGTGTTTTTTTTTAAGGTCAAGGGCAATTTTGTCAAACCAAGTGAATTTTGTGGGCTTTATGTTGTAATTTGTGGGCGATGTTTAACAAATCCCTAATAAAATGCCTCTATAAATCTAAAATACTTATAATTTTATAATAGTACAATACGTTTTAATATGTTCTTTTGAGATGACTTAAACTAGATACTCTCTTGGTCCACTAATATAAGTTTTGTTCACCTTTTGTTTTGGTAGTGGAATGAATAAAAGTAAGATAGTGGAGTTTGGTTGATTAAAAGTGAATATAATAAATAAAATTCGAGATTTGGATGATTAATTGTGAACAAACATAGCTCACATTTTATCAAGTAATACGAAGTAAGATAGAGGTTAAATGATATTTTTTTTGAAAGAAATGAGACTTTTAATTAAAGTTGAAAGATATAATTAAAATAAATGAAGGGTGCGGAGCGTAAATACACAATAGCTGGGGGGCTTACCTGAGAAAAAATGATCTGAATGAAGATAACAAGGAAGAGCAAACTGCTGTCAGCAGATTTTTCCCAGAATATTAACAGAAATTCTTGGTATTAAAGACATGATTATTTTCTCATCACCTTCTTCCCTTCAATCCAAACCATTGTTCTCTTGTAAGTCTCTCTCTCTTCCCCTGTTTCTGTCAATTTCTGATTTTTATTTTTTATTTTTTTTGGTATGCAACTTCAATGAGTTATCAGTTATATTATCATGTGAAGCACAAAATTCCCATTTGATAGTGTATAAATTTGTTTGTGCATTTCATAGCTTTTTGCTAGGGTTTACCTATTTATAGAATGCATCATTCTTTGGTAACTTTATATGGGAATATAATGTTTAATTTTGTAATCCAATAGTTACAAATTGATTTAATTTTTAATTTAATTCTGTAGTATGAATTTGCTTCAATTTGCAATACCCATTATCCAGTTTCCTTTGTTTTCTTAATTGGAAATTTTGAAGAGGCCAAATAGGAGAAGATCAACTTGGTGGGGGTGGTGGGTGGGGGGGGGGGGGAGATTGGGAAATAGTTGATTTATTGTAACTTTTTTCAGCCCCGGAATTGATTATTGTCACGTTGATAGTGTAATTTGACGAGTAGTGACTACTAAATTAAGACAGGTAATATATATTACATGGACTTTGATGCAAAATGAAGTTTTAGTTGTTTTGGATGATGTAGAGAGTATTAGAAATCGATGATTAGTGTATCTCAATCATTTGAGGAGCACACATTGAGTTTCTCATCACTTTGCGAATTCGACTTGCAGATAATGTGGCATCATATTGCCCTACACTCAAGTACTCCTTTTTCTCGAGAAAGCAAATATCTTGCTGCCATTCAAGCAGACCAAGCTGTAGTTTAGAACAAAATAGGTAAGAGGTAAATCAAATGTTTCGATTACATATGTTCCTGTGCTGGTGCTGTTGTCGAAATCCTGCTCATGTTATTGCTGGTGCCCTTGTTAGTTAAGTCCAGCTATTAGTCTAAAAGAAAGAAAATATGTTGAAAGTATGAAACTCTATTCCACTTCTTCATTGGTTGCTAAATGGTTTTGCAGTGAACAGAATGACAGTAAAGTGCTGCAGGAAGAGAAAACGCTTAGAAGGATGATGCTCGTTATGTTTGTGACGTCTAGTTCTTTTCCAACTTTACATTCTTATGGGAAAACAAAGACTAAGAATCCTTATGATGAAAGACGCTTGCTAGAGCAGAACAAGCGGATACAAAGAGAAAACAACGCTCCTGATGACTTTCCAAGTTTTATCAGAGAAGGTTTGCTTTGCACCAACATTCTTGGAACATATATATGATTCAGATGCAGCCATGTCTTGTTTCAATATTGTCTATTGTTATTTGTTCAGGTTTTGATGTTAAGGTGGTGGCATCTGACAATTATATAAAGCGTGATTCTGGACTCATATACCGAGATTTTGAAGTCGGTCAAGGTGATTGCCCGAAAGATGGCCAGCAGGTTTTTGTTTCTTGTGTCCTGAGGGTTAAATTGTTCCTTACACCTTGTGTCCTTGATTTGTGCGTATGCAGAACGTTGGCAGTTATAACTAAACTAGAACAGTCACCTTAACACTAAATTAGAATTGTCAGAGTAATCATAAGGTACTTCAAATTACATGGATACTAACTGAAGTTTCCCTAGAATCAAATTCTCGGTGGAAGATGTACACCAAAAGTTACTTGACTTCTGGTTTCCTCTGTTGTATCTGTTAGAGTTGAGAGAAAACTATGTCTCTTGGTGGATTAAGCCTGATCTCTGAATACCTCATATTATACTTATGCAGGTCATTTTCCAATACATTGGCTATAATGAGTCAGGTCGCCGTATTGACAGCACATACATACAGGGGGCTCCTGCCAAAATTAGGATGGGCACTAAGGCACTGGTGCCAGGTGAGAAATTTGAAAATGTTGGATGTAATGAGATCCTGAAATCTATTCTAATAGAGTGATTTTGAGACAGGATTCGAGGAAGGTATACGTGACATGAAACCTGGGGGTAAAAGAAGAATAATCATTCCTCCAGAACTTGGACCACCGGTCAGTTCATTAATGCTTGAAGTTGCTCTTTTTATCTTTCGCACTTATATTGATATTTTGTGGGTGTAAAACTTGCCATATGAGCTATACAATTCACATCTTTTGTCCTATGTTTGAGACATGAAAAGAGGTGCTGATTGAGTAAAACTTACAAGTAGATGGAAGTATCAAAATAAGTCTTTCGTGTAACAAGACTATTACTTAATATGAGGAAGACAAAATGCATTAGTGTCTTAGTGATGATGTAGAACTTTAATATATATGACTATGGACAATTCTTGAGTTAGGTCAATTCATATGCCTGTTAAGGGGCCTTATATATCCTTCTTAAACTTAGATCATGATATCATATATAATTTGCAGGTTGGACCTTCAACTTTCTTCAGTGCCAAACAGTTTGAGGTTTTTGACGTGGAGTTGCTAAACATCAAAGATTGTCAGAGAAGAACCATAGGATTCTATTCCGATGTAGTCTGTGATTAAGTAGGGAGGTAAATTCAAGATGAAGTTGCAAGTTGACATGGATACGATTTGTGTTTCAAATCAGTCCTTGGGTTCAAAAGTATACTTTTCATTTTGACATTTCTCAGTTTGCTCCAGGTTCTCTGGGGGTAACTAAAAGATTGTCGAGTTCAAGAAATCAGAAGGAATTAGGATTAAATTGTGTGAGATAGTGATGCTACTGATGTATTAACCTCTCTGTGGAGTATAAATGTTGAGCATTTTTAGTTATTGTTTCCTGCGTCAAAAAAGTTAATGTTTCTGATGAGCCACACAAGCCATTTTTGGCATAAATTTTGTACTGGTGCAAAAAATCGACATCACCATTCAACAACAATGTAGAGTAACTCATTTGATATGCTTTTGTTTTTGACATGGAATTGCTGAATGTTCAAAAGAATGCAAGTCAGAGGAGAAGCATTGGATTTCACTCAGGTGTTGTCTGCAATTTTTTTGGAAGGTCACCGTATGTTTAAATTAAAAATTGGATACAAGTTCGAAGTTCTGCATTCCAAGCCACATAAATGATTTTTTTTTTTTTTTTTTTGACAGAACACATAAATGATTATTGATGCGCAAAGAGAGCGTGCAAGAGAGCAATATCTGATTAGAATGTAATTTTGGACAAAGATTTGATTGATTTACAAGACTCCTTTAAAATAATTCAACATGATCTATAGTCTGGGATCTTGAAGCTGTGGAAAAAATAAATACCTTCGGGTAAACCATTAATTTACAAGGGCATGTACAAATATGTAAAACAATTGCTCAACAATATCACCCAATTCCACCAAAATTTACTGAATGCATATTCTCTGACAATCAACAGGTGAATCCCGGTTAGCATGCATCAGCATCTGATGGCAAAAGAATACAGTATGCTCTGTCATGTTGATGAGTTTGTTTACCCCTTCAAAGGAATTACTTCAAATGTGGACTTTCAGGAGATGTCCTGTGATAGACAATGGTTTCATCTGAACTTGGTTTTGCATGGAACTGGCCGTAGAAAGCATATATGCCAACTGTAATGAGACTAAAGACCACAAATCTCACCCATGCTTCATAATGCAGCTGCAAAGCAAGATTTCTAATATTATCAAGAATGAAACATTGAAGTAAATTTTTTTTTTTTTATTTCTTTTTATTGCAAGGAATTTGGAACATGTGATTGAGGCAAAATAACACAAACCTGAGCGAACAAGAACATGTTGAAAAAAATGCAGAGAGCTGGCAAGAAAGGGACTGCTGGACAGGAAAACCCTGGAGGATGTGAATAGACCTGGAATAAGAAAATACAAATGGATTAAATAGCATAGAAAGTAGCAATCTTAATTCATCAATGCTTCGGAGTTACTTAATGCTTTTAAAATAAAGGAAAGGTACTGACGCTGAGATCTATTGGTGCTTAAGCAAACTAATAGGTACATGATGATTAATATAAGAATAGTGAAGAATGCTCACTTGACGGACATAAAGAGCCACTAATGCAACTATAGCTATGACCAAAGGTATGATCAAGAAATAGAATGAAGCACCAAAACGATACGTTAATCCAGCCCCAAATCCACAACAAGCCAGCAGAACCAGCAACAGCACACCTTCTGCCCATTTAGAGCACCATCTGGTTGATGATTGACCAGGAGATTTTTCTTCAAACCGGAGAGATAAAACACAGGCAGCCACAACAGAATAGCCTGTCTGAAGAAGAAGAACAAGATTTCAGAATTCGAGCAAATCCAGTTTTAGATAAAATAATCAAATATGAAGCTTGACAGTAAGATTCTAACATACCAATGTCCCAACTGAGAGAATATGAGAAAGCACGTGCACATTAAGTAGACCAGCCATGACCGAAGCCACGAGACCTACCCAGACCTGAGAATTTATTGGAGTGTGCCGCTTTGGATGTACTTTAGCAAATAATTTAGGTAATAGGCCGTCCCTTCCAAGGCCAAGGTATAACCGAGACTGTACATGAGAAAACACTAAAAAAATATTAGCATATTAGTATGAATAGTAATATAAGCCATCCCTTCAAATTTTTGAATTTATAATAATTTGATGAACCGTTTCCATTATTATACACAACGAGACAAAGTGGGAGCCAGCAGCATCAATTCATGTAGATATGCCATTCAATGACATATGATAAGAAAAGACATTATATTCTAAAAATGCATCATTGCATATTTTCACCTGAACATAGAGTCCGACTAGAAGGGTAGTTGTAAGCCCAGCAACAGCCCCAACACTGATCAGAACAGAGACAAATTTCAGGCCTTTGGATGTGAATGCTGCGGCCAATGGAGCCTCTTCACCAAGAAGATTATAAGGAACCATTCCAGTGATCACCAAGCAAACACCAATATACAGCCCGATGCAGATGAGAAGGCTTCCAATTATGCCCAATGGCAAATCCCTCTAAAGCATCAGCAGAGAAATGAATTATACAAGGATATATGTAAATAAAAAAGAGTATAGGGTCAGCAATATCAATCTCGTATGACTTACCTGTGGGTTTTTAGATTCCTCAGCAGAATTTGCAACAGCATCAAATCCAACATAAGCAAAAAATACTACAGTTGCTCCAGTTAAAACTGCGCCATAACCATTTGGAGCAAAAGGAGACCAATTTGAGACATCAACCTTAAATGCCCCAGAAATAATAACAATAATCACAATGACTACCTGCATGTCAACAAAACGTGCACAGCTATATCAAATACATTTAGCTTTTGCAATCAACATATCCTATAACTTCATCATAATAGGAGCAATTTAGCAACTGCCAGCAATATCATAAAAAAAGATGGTACCTTTGTGACAGTCATGAATGAGTTCACAATCGAAGATTCTCCAACACCCCAACATAAAACTATTGTCAGGATGAACAACAGGATAGGAGCTAACACGTTAATTGAGAAAACTCCTAAGTAATCCTTGGTGCCATGTCCTATCCAGTTTGGAATATTTCCCTTGATAGAGGGAAACAATTCTAGTAAAGCAATGGCGTAGCTGGCCAAGCTCCTTGCAATACTAGCTGCCCCAATGTGGTAGTCAAGCATCAATTGTGCAAACACCAAGAAAGCAGTGAGCTCATTGAAAGCGGAGTATGTATACAGATATGCTCCTCCAACAACAGCAGGAAAACGGGAAGCTAACTCAGCATAACAGAGTGCATTGAGTATACACGACACTCCAGCAAGTATGAAGCAGAGTGTCACAGCTGCGTAACCAAAAGAAATTCACGTAAGCTTCTGGTTCTAAAAGAAACACCATGCTGTTTTCACACAAGTCTCATAATCGAACTATCAGTTCGTATATATATACGAGATCTGGGTGAGAACATTTGTCAATGTAGTTTGAAGTATTGTTAATTTGTTATGTCAATCCTTTTGTGCTCTTACAAATTAGCACAGAATTATTTGACTTATTCGAAATCCAAAAAAAATGTATCAAAATGCTCTAAGAAAGAAGTCATGTAAGCCAGGGTTGAACCTTCTTTCAAGAGAGAAAAAAGACCATGAATGCAACAAGGTTAACTCAGTAAACAGGGATAAGATACTTCCATAACATAGGACTAGTCAAAAAAAAAAAAACCACTGGGAGATAAAGCAGAGGAATAATCAAGCATCAATCACAGCAATGCCATTTTTTCAACCAACATTATACTGAGATAACTGATTGTTCAGCAAGCTGACATTAATATTATGACAAAGAGCACTACATTAGTAAGATCTAGGGGACAGCCTCCTAGTTCATGTAGTGGATTGGCCCTTATTGCAGTTTAATTTTAGTACCCATCAAAGGCAGTTAGATAAATAGGCTAAATAAGCCTGTAATTGCCGTCAAAAAAGAAATAAGCCAGTTATCAATAGCTCTGAGCCTCTAACATGGTTATCTTCTGAGTTCTAACCAATCACCCTCTAACTTTACACATGCCCATCAACCAAACTGCAATGACCCCAATTTTGATCCATATCAACTATTGCTCAACTTCCTACTAATTCCTAATCAAAATAAAATGTCACCTGACATGATTCCACCTCAGGTCATCTGATTCCCCATCTAAATATTTGGCGGACACTCCCTTTCCCGGTGTCACACCTAGTCACTAATGCTATTCTGAAGAGATTCTTACATCTTAACATAAATTCCTTGTAAATCAAGACAAATTCACAGAGCTTCATGGCTAATTGAGGCTCCAAACTTTATGTATACAGCTATCCTAGTAACCTGATATTTGGAGAATTCGAAACATCCCAAAATGGAGCAGAAAACTCACTTGACAGCCATGACAGTCATGGTTATATTTTCCTAGCTTATTCAATTAACTCCCTATAGCTTGAAAATAACTCATTAGTACACAGCAACTTCATCAGGACCACTACATTTAATAGTAGATTCAATCAATTCTTCGGTATTTACCTCTTTGTCACCATGATGAAATTACCTAAGATGGGCTTGAAGATACACAATCCATTCTTTAAGAAGGTAAGGCCACCTTAAAGGCTCAAAACCCAAATCATTCACAGACCCTCTACTGAAATCTACAATGGACAACAGAATAAAACCATATATAGCAACAAAATGGAAGTATAAATCTGTTCAGAGATGGGCCCCAGCGGTGACTCCCGGGCTACCGGGGCCACGAAGTTGAACCTGTTCAGCAGTGGGGAAGCCACGCAGCTAAGTCTAAATTGTCCCAAAGAATAACATGTCAGATCACCCATTGTACAAAAATACAGCAATTCCACATGATATATTTCTTATTATGAAGTCCAAATTATTCAATACAGCAATATTACCAACAACCAATCAATCAAACCCAATTCAATTCAAGATACAAATTGAAATCAAGACTGACCCACTTCAGAAAAACTTAAAATAAACACCTGAAAAGACAAATTTAACTACAATAGCAAAAAATTATGAATTAAAACTATAATATTTAAAAGCTAGAATTGATTTATACCTGGGCCAGCATCATGAGCAACAGTACCAGTAACAACAAAAATCCCGGCACCAATCGAAGCTCCAATACCAATAAGAACAAGCTCAAACAGTCCCAACCGCCGTACAAGGCCTTCGCCGGAGTTCGTACGGACGTCGGAAGAATTGGGTGCTAGGGGTTTACTCCGGCAAGCTGATTCCCAGAAATGCGAAAACCAATTTGGTGAAGAAGATGAAGATGAAGCACTACCATTGTTCTTCTTCTGCCTACCCAAATTCATAGCTCTTGATTATTAAAACCCAGAAAAATTACGGCGAAAAATTTCTGGGATTTGTACTTTAATGGCGGGTGAATTGAACTAGTATGAATTGAACATCATAGTCATTGAACAGATTGCAAAACAAAATGGGGAGAGAGAGAAATGGGTATTGGTTGATTGATCCTGGAAAATTCAGTTGATTAAAGGGATTTTGATTGGATGATGAAAGATTGAAGTGTGATGTTCGTTGAATCTGGACAGTGATCCAATTACTGGCTATGAAACACCCAACAAACAAACGACGAAATTGGAAGAATTTTTCTGGGATTTGATTTTAATTGGTTTTCTCACCTAACGCTGTTTCTGTTTTTTTTTTTTGGTGATATTTTTGAATTTTTTTACAGTTATTTTTCAAGTAACTAACTTTTTTGCAAGTTGATCTATTAAATATTTTTGTCCTAAAATGATTGGAGTATGCATCTAACACGGTTCTTAAATTAGTACTCGTATTGTATTCGTATTAATTTAGAAGTCATAATGAATATTCGTGTTGATTGAGGTAATTAAAATTGAATTTATTTTTATTTAGTTTGACATGCATTTAAATCCGCTTGATTTTTTTTTTAATTTTTTTTAGTAGAGTTATTTACAATGAGATTGAAGCATTTTTTTTTTTTTTGGGTGCTCACGAAGGGGCACAACCCCAAAGAAAAAACAAAATTAACAAAAAAACTACAGGGGCATAAAACGTGGCATAGCCACACCTACTACATCATCATGTAAAATTCTCCCTAAAGCTATAGGGGGGACTTGAATCAACTCCGTAGGGTTGTTCTGATTGACCCCTTGGTTAGCTAGCCAATATGTAGCTCTGTTAGCTTCTCTGTAAATATGGTGCACTTGAACCTGCCACTTATCATCCTCGAGCAAATTTTTTTAGTTATTGATCGTTTACATTCTTTATTAAATCGAATGTTGAGTGGATGTGATGCAGATTTTAAGAAAAAAGAGTTAATTCAAATCTTACTTTTTTTTTTCTTTATTCTCTTTATTTCAATTATAACTAGCTTAAAATAAGTCTAACTGTTAATCAACTAAGAACTTGTCGAGTAAGTCGACCATTGCTACTGTTTTTGAATTTTTCATTCTCATCTTCTAGTATAGTGGATCCTTGTGATGTGGAAGATTACAAAGATGGCCACATTTAGTCATTAAAAAAATTCATTCGAGATCTATCGGCATAACAATGGCCTTCACAAGTGAAAATAGAGCAATATGTTATCAAAACTTGGCAAATGTTGTTTTTGTGTTGACCGAACTAAAGCTAGTAATGCCTAAAAAAAAACTTAAGCGAACGAAGGAAATTCAAAATTATGTGGAGTAGCATGGCATAACTTATATGGAGATTGTTGAATTATAACTTCAATTTGAAGTTTAATGGAGTGAACCCTTTTAAATAGATAATGATGATTGCAAGTTCCAACCCAACCCAACCCAACCCAACAATGATCAACAACTTAGATAGATGAACAACTTAAGAGGAGAGGCAATGGGATTATTTTGAACTAGCTTCCAACAAGCCCAACCATTTCATTTCCAAGGAATCTACATGATTTCAAGCTTAATATCCAAAAACAGTCAAATTCATGCAATGTTAGATCTCCGCAACTCAGGATATGACTTTGTTGCAATGTGGATGATTAAGGATTCATGGTACCCAAAGCATTAGAGTGATCTATTTAATAGCAGGGAAATGTGCCTAAAATAATTTCATATAGAGCGTACTTTATAATATTGTGTGCGAGCATGAGAGAGTGTACAAATGAGTGTGCCTCTTTCGAATTTGACAAGGTGATGTGTGAGATATTTGTGCATCTTTCGTTGATCGTGTTGAGCACAAAAGGTAAAGTTCTAGCGTTTGCAGTAGTATTAATTTTTTCCCCCATTTTTATGGAGATCATACTTTACAACAATGCGTCTGAGCAAATATGCAACTTTCACAGGTTACCGCACGAATCAAATATGTAATATGAAATGTCCTACGCATTCGTATATATACCAAAATACTCCGGCTACTCGCCATGCTACCGAGGTACATGATAGTACATTGTAATTTATATCGCATTTTCCTAGCTTATCGTGAATCCGACTAGTGATACAAACTAATCACATTATCACGAAACAAAATCAAACCAAATCGGCCATTGAAAAACCCTAATAACCCAATGGGCAATGGGTTGCAAATCCACCATCCATAAGGCCAAAAACCAAACAAGAACACATTCTCAATCATGTAAAAACACTTGATAAATGGGCTATACATCCCACTCAAAGAATCCAAACTTGTAGCTTACAAAAACTTTAGATGTATAAATGCATCATTTTGAGGTCAATAGACAATACTAGCCAAACCAATTCATTCATTCATCACCACCTTTTTTTTCTTTTTACCTTTGCATCTCTCCTTACATTGCTTGTCTTCCTTCTTCTCTCTCTTGTTCCTCACCTGCACCTTTGTTGGTCAGGTTTCTCATTGAACCCTCAAAAACCCAGAAAAATCCAACTTCAATTCTCTCTCATTCACTTGCAAAATCGTCAAATTTCTTTAGTATGAGCAGAAGGGTTCGTCGGAAAGTGGCTAAGAAGGGCAAAGAAAAGCTCCTTCTTCCCAGCTACCCTGAACTCATACTTGATGAAAACGATGCCGATTTTCCTCATTCTATCTTACCCATTAATCTTGCCGCAAATTCCGCCGCACCCACCTCCCCAATTGGCGTCGCCGTCGATTGGACCACCTTGCCGGATGATACGGTAATCCAGCTTTTTGCCCTTTTGAACTATAGAGATAGAGCTAGCTTGTCTTCTTCGTGCCGAACATGGCGTAATCTGGGCTCTACTCCTTGTTTGTGGGAGTCCTTGGACCTCCGGGCGCACCGTTGTGACGCTAGCTCGGCTGTATCGTTGTCGTCGCGGTGTTCGAACCTTCGCCGGGTTCGATTTCTTGGGGCGGACTCAGCTGATGCTATCATTTACTTGAAAGCCAAGGGTTTACGGGAAATTTCCGGTGAGTATTGCCGGAAAATGACTGATGCTACCCTTTCGGTCATCGCTGCCCGGCATGAGATGCTTGAGTGTCTTCAATTGGGGCCTGATTTTTGCGAGAGAATCAGCAGTGATGCGATCCGGGCAGTTGCCATTTGCTGCCCAAAGTTGAGGAGGCTCAGATTATCTGGGGTAAGAGAAATTGACTCTGATTCTATCAATGCCCTTGCTAAAAATTGTGTTAATTTGTGTGATATTGGGTTTATGGATTGTTTGAAAGTTGATGAAACTGCTTTGGGTAATATGGGGTCACTTAGATTTTTATCTGTTGCTGGGACTTCTAATTTGAAATGGGGTTTGGTGTCTCATCTTTGGAGTAAGTTGCCTAATTTAGTTGGGTTGGATGTTTCGAGGACTGATATTAGTCCTACTGCGGTTTCGAGGATGATGTTGTCTTGTCAGAGTTTGAAGGTGTTGTGTGCTCTTAATTGTACAAATGTTGAGGAAGATGCTAACTTTGTGACAAGCAGTCATGGGAATAAAGGTAAGTTGTTGTTGTCCCTGCTCAGTGATATATTCAAAGGGGTAGGTTCGTTATTCGTCGATAATTCAATGAAAGGGAGGAATGTGTTTTTGGATTGGAGGGATACTGAGAAGAAAGATCAGAAATGGGATGACATTATGACTTGGCTCGAATGGGTTCTTTCGTATTCGCTTTTGCGAATTGCTGAGAGTAATCCTCCTGGTTTGGATAACTTTTGGGTCAGTCAAGGTGCTACATTGTTGCTCAGTTTGATGCAGAGTTCACAGGAGGATGTTCAGGAAAGGGCAGCTACCGGGCTTGCTACTTTTGTGGTTATTGATGATGAGAATACTAGCATTGATGGACAAAGAGCGGAAGCAGTTATGCGGGGTGGGGGTGTGCAGCTCCTCCTTCATCTTGCCAGTTCGTGGCGAGAAGGATTGCAGGCAGAATCTGCCAAGGTATGAATATCTCTTGTTCACTTTCTAGTTCTACTTTCTGCTTGAAGTTCACTGAATCGTCAAAGGCTCCATATATGCGCCTTATACCTTAGGTTTTATTTTGTTCAGTTCTGTCCAATGTCCATCCTTAGTGAAAGGATGAGTTTTTTTTTTCCCCTGACTGTTGAAGCTCCACATGTTTAGGAGTGATTGTGTGATTTGATATTGACCATTGTTTTCATGTACAGGCAATTGCAAATTTGTCTGTAAATGCTAATGTTGCAAAAGCTGTAGCTGATGAAGGAGGTATCACTATTCTAGCGAATTTGGCAAAGTCCATGAACAGGCTGGTGGCTGAGGAGGCAGCTGGTGGATTATGGAATTTATCGGTTGGAGAAGAACATAAGGTTGGCCATTTTTGCCCACCTTATTTTTCAATTTTATGTCATCCGTGTTTGTATGAGTTTTTTGTTAACAGGTTCCTTTTGTTGTTCAGGGTGCCATTGCAGAGGCAGGAGGTGTTAAAGCTTTAGTTGATCTTATCTTCAAATGGTCAACTGGCGGTGATGGAGTTCTGGTTTGTACTTCCATTGAGATGATCACAAACATTTGGCTTTTATTACTTTCTGATTTATATATTCATACCACAATACAAGTTTCCTGTTATGTTGTGCTATATATTAATAATTGTCATTTCTACACTTTCTAGGAACGAGCGGCTGGTGCTCTGGCAAACTTGGCAGCTGATGACAAATGTAGCATGGAGGTTGCAGTTGCTGGTGGTGTACATGCATTAGTGATGCTGGCTCGCAATTGCAAGTTTGAGGGAGTGCAAGAGCAGGTGATGCTAATATTATCCGAAGTTTGTTGCTTCCGTGACTTTGGATGCAGTTTCGTGGATTATGATGTACTGTTTGTGTGAAGTGAGAGTTTAATTTGTCAAAATTCCTGGAAATAATAGAATTATATCGACAAGGTGGAATTTTATAATTTATTCACATGTGGGGGAACAATAATGTCCCATGAAAGTAACATCACCTTTACCTTAGACTTTTAAAGTTACAAGTTGTTTTCTAAATCTGATTGAAAAATAAGGCCATCTGGATTAGCTTTCTTCAATTCACCAGTACTTAATATATTTCTAATATAATTTAATTGATTCTACAGGCTGCTCGAGCCTTGGCTAATTTGGCAGCTCATGGTGATAGTAACAGTAATAATTCAGCTGTAGGACAGGAGGCTGGTGCTCTTGAAGCCTTAGTACAGCTGACACATTCTCCTCATGAAGGTGTCAGGTATTTTGTGGAATAAGAAACAAATTTTACTGCATTTTGTTAGAATATGTCTCAGATATTCCTCATTAAACGAACATAAATTCTTGTGTGACCCACATATTATAATTCATAAATTAGCCTATATAATTACTCGTGTGGTTGGAATTTTCTGTTTGCTTCTTGTTTGACTTTGAATTTGAATTCATGATGATCGGTCCTCGTGAAGTCTTTTTATCTAAAATACTTATTTTATGGTTCTTGAGCAGACAGGAGTCTGCTGGTGCATTGTGGAATTTGTCATTTGATGATCGAAATCGAGAATCTATTGCTGCAGCTGGTGGTGTTGAGGCATTGGTATGTAAACATATTTAAATTT